CAGCTGAGGCACAGTTGAATAACTTGGTGAATAATTTAGCAATATACATTTGGGTAACTATTTATAGTGCAAATGGTGCTGTTACAGGTTGAGAGTCTACTGTAGTTCCTCATGCACCAAGATTAACATTGACATTATTCTGGTGGGTGTGTCTTATAAGTAAGAAAAATGCTTTAACTACAGAGTATATGAAAATCAACATATTCATGGGTTACTTCACCCATCTTCTGTTAAATGCCAAGAAACATCAACATTTTACTCAAAAATTATGATGGATTTGTTTCATAAATGGGAAAAAGACTGTGATTGTAAACTGAAAATATTGTAAGGTGCATGTGATGATAAACTGTTTCACTGTCTGTGCTAATACAATATTAACATTATTTTAGCAGGGGCAGATCCACGGAGGTCCTGGGGGTCCAGAACCCCCTTTTCATCTGAAAATTCCAATACTTTTTCTTTAATGCAGTATTGTACTAAGGCATATTTGTACAGTACTGTACAGTAAAAAGTAATTATTTTTTACCTCAGAATATCTCTTAATATCAAGTGCTCACGGGTGGGCTCACTGCACTCACCATGTTTCTTCACCCACAACTTTTTGGACACCTCCCCCTGCTTTGGATATTCCTGGATCAGCCCCTGTTTTGGGTGAGGTAGGATATAAATTTTACTGGGTTGGCCCACAGAAAAATACCTAAATTGTAATGCGACCCATGACCAAGGAAAGGTTGCCCATGCCTGAGGCCGGATACTCAAAACACCTCATAAGTTACGTATAGTAGCGAGATACAGTACCATATATTGCAGACTCCTTACAGTTCAGAAAATTTCGCAAAATCAAAATTTAATTACAGTTCCGTAAGCAGTTCGTAACTCTAGTGTTTACCCTGTAAATTCAGTTCTCTTGTCGGAAGGTAGATGGCAGTGCAGGAGCTAGTTGGCCAATCAGTGCTCAGTTAACAAAATCATCAACCAATCACAAGAGAAGTGAATTAATAACAATAAAGAAGTGTCAGAATACTCCACAGGACCGCAATTCTCATGTAGTGAAGGACACTCGCGTTCATTTTGCACGTTACATGTATGAGACAGATCTCTATCAACACAGGATATATATCAATGAGACTGGCTGCAACTTGCACACAAAAAGGATGTATGGCCATGCAACATGAGGTGAGCGTGTCACAAGAGCTGTATCAGGGCAATGTGGAGGAAATATCACGCTGATAGCCGCTATCTCAGATGTTGGGGGAATGATTTACCATGAAATACACTTCCACAATGTTATAATGAGGTTGTTTATGGATTTTCTTGCATCCCTTGAGGCCACTTTGGGAGAAGCAGCAGCAATTGAGAATTGCTTCAGTGTTCTCAAAAGCACCCTGAAGCAGCACCTCAACTGTGTAGTAGATATGTGTAACAATGCTGCAGCTACAATAGCAGGTCTTAGTGTCAGAGTCTATTGAGAAAACATTCTCCAGGCCCAAGATGGAGGAGGCTCAAACAATCATCACACCTCAAGTAATCCAGGGTAATTACACTAAGTCTATCACTTTTTCCATGATATGCATTCAGAGGGAGAATATATGGGATTAATTCACATTCATAATAAAAGGTGTATAACGGTAGGGAAATATCCCATGCATAAATTTGTAGCGATTGATTGTCAGACCAAAGCTTACAGCCCAGAATTACATCACATATAACAGCGAGTATGCTAGAGACCTTGTGGTACCCCAACATTCCAGGTTGACACACCTCAGGTCGACCCTAGGAACTTGACCTCGCCCGCTAATGACGTGAGTTAGCCGGGTGACCTACAACCTCACCTAACCAAGACAACTGGGCAGGACCACACCTGCACACAGCTATCCAGATCTAACCAGTTTAGTGATAATTGGTTAGAGGTCAAAAGCCGGCTGTGCCGACCCCATATAAAGGCCCTACAGTCCCGTCCACGAGCATTCTCACGCTGATTCTCATAGTGATTCTCATACGACTGTCATTCAGAGAGGTTGTCATTGAGAGGTCATTCTGGTCACTCGCACAGAGTCGCGCTCGTCCCCTTTCCACAGGGGGGAGACTTCACTACGCCCCCAGCTAAGCAGAGTCCCTCATACGAGAGCCAAGCCAACACCCACTGGGCCTACGTCAGGTGTACACGTGAGTCATTGTCAGAGCAATCTCTAGGGTGAGTTACCTACTGTGGGAAGTGTATTCATTCTTGTGTGTCCGAGAGTCAGTGTCGAGTAACGTAACATAATGTGGAGTACCCCGATATAATAACGATATCAAGGTGTCCATGTCATTGAGTGAATTAATAAATAGTTGTATTGAAGAGGTGTTTAACAAGTTGTCCCTTTAAGAATAGATATGTGTATTGACGTATAAGATAAGTGTATTGACGCAGAGTAAATAACACCCAAGCGGCCACGCTACCAAACTCTTCCTATCTTTACATTCCTACTCTCTATACTCCTATACTTATATGTAATCTTCCACTTCTCCGTTTATTGTGTCTCATTATAAATTGTATGTATGTGTACTGCCTAAAAGTCACATTGGTTTGACTCAAGTGACAAAGATTTTGACGTATACAGTGTACTATGAAAGTGTTATATAAGGCTTAGTCTCTGGTGAAACATACATGCATGTACCAAGTCCTTCAACTTGATGTTACTATGTTACCTACCTTGTTGGATTAAATATATGACACTGTTTGTTAATATGTGTCTGATTGTCCTGGATAATTTAATATGACTATGTATTTTGGTGATCTGTTCGTGTAATATCTGCAAGTCTGTTAAAATAATCTAATGGAATGTCGATTTACAATGAGATGATGTCATAGGTTATGACGCAGTGGTATAATGCAAATTATTGTCTATATACAATACAGTATAGCCCCGTGGTTTCACTTTACGCGTTTCCACGTTTACGCAGTACCCTACCGAACATGGAATGCTCACTTTACGCGGTGTGTGTACCCTTTTACGCGGAGAGCAGCTGGCGGTCCTCTCGCGCTGCGCCATTTTTGGATTCAAACCTCCCGCTATCCCGCCATGTTGGGTAAGCGGCCCGAGTAGGTTGCGCAGTGTATGTCTTTGTTGCGTTATCGGTGACGTCATATGACGTATCGGACTGTGATTGGTCCAAGCAGCCCAAACCCTTCAATGCTTCCTCTAGGTGGTTGCAGAGATTTAGGAAGAGGAACAAGATCACCAACATTAACATTGGTGGTGAAGAAGCTAGTGCTGACCATGTTGCGGCTAGGGATTTTCCTACGTTTTTACGTGAGATTATGGAGGAAGGATAGTACACCGACGACCAGGTATTTAACATGGACGAATCTGGTCTTTTTTGGAAAAAGCTACCTTCCAAGACCTTCATTGTGAAGAATTCCAGCAAGTGTCGGGGCCGGAAGTTTCAGAAGGAGCGCATCACCGTCCTGTTTACCACCAATGCCTCCGGTACCTGTAAGCTCAAGTTATCGGTGATCCACACAGCACACAAGCTGCACGCCTACAAGAACATGGACATGACCAAGCTAAATGTCCACTGGCTGACCACACATAAGGCGTGGATGTTCTCTACTCTATCCCTCTCCTGGTTTGATGACTGTTTCGTTCCTGACGTGAAGAAATTCTGTGAGCAACAATGTTCCATTCAAGATTTTGTTGCTCCTTGACAACGCGCCAGGACACTCGCCCCTACTGTTGGATCGTCACCAACATAAAAGTGGTCTTCCTTCCTCCCAACACTACGTCATTAATACAGCGCATGGACCAAGAATTGATCTGTAATGTGAAAGCTGCATTCTCTGCAAAGAAATTTAAGCTCCTGAACAACTACAGTAACACCAAGGATGAGTTGCGTAACCTGGGTGACACCGATAGCAAGAGAGAAGACGACGAGGAACAACAGTTGGCAGAGTATGAAGTACTTGTGAAACAATTTTGGAGAAAATTCAACTTCTTGGTGGAGGCATGGGATCAGCTGTCTGTAGCAACGGTTCGTCACGCATGGAGACATGTGTTGCAAGGTATTCCAGGTGGGAGGCAGAGTATATCTGTGACTGGTGAGGTTCAGACTGTTGCAGTAGCAGTGGACCTTGCCAGAGAAGCTGCGCAGAGTGTTACAGCTGCAGGCTTCTCCGAGACCACCAACGACGACATCCTGGAGGTGATAAGGGATCCTGATGTGACTGCAGACGAGATGCTAGATGATGATGACGTCAGTGAAGAGGCATGTGGTGCGTCATCCCAAGAAGAACGCAAGTTATCGCATAGTAACGTAAGGGGTGCCATTGAGTGTACGGAGAAAGTCAAGCTCCTCCTTTCCGACGACCCTGACGCTAACAGGTATGAAATCTTCACTACCCAGCTGTTGCAGACTATGGAGCCCTACATCAAGGTGTATCACGACAACATAAACACCAGCCGTCAGCAAAGCATAACCGAGTTCTTCGCCCGCAACCCACCACAGCCAGCCCAAGCCAGTGACAGAGACAGTGATGATGACTTTGAGGGATCTGTCAGGGAGGCACTAGTAAGTGTGGATGACAGTGATGAAGACTCACCTGAGGGCCAGTAGCCTGGCCTCTGCCTCGGAACCAGCCTCCACTCCCGTACTCCGACCCATCTCTTCTACTAACGTAAGTGTTAACCCCAACCTTGTTTTTTCTAACCTAACCTACAGTATAATATTCTCTTATTGATTGTTCCCTTCTATATTATGTGTGTGTGAATACCATCATAAAGTTAAGATGTTATTTTTACTAAAACGTACGTATTGTCGGGAAAAAGTGGAGTTTGGGGGTCGGCCCGGTCTCTATTTCAATTAATCCCATATGTTATGTTGTTCACTTTACGCGTTTCTTGCTTTACGCGGGCCGCCGTGGGCTCAATTGACGGCGTAAAGTGAGGGTTCACTGTACAGTATTATGAATTTCTGTGGGAGTAAAGTGGGAAAAAGGGTTATAAAAAAAAATACACATGATTTCCTACATTTTCTTTACTCAGTTACATACACACACAATCCTATGTACAGAATGTGGAAAAAAATTAAATAAAAATAAATATCATAAGGTAAAAAGTTTTAAGTATCTAGGGGTTTCCATCATGAAACTGAGTGGAGAGGTTAGAGGGGTCTGTAACATACAGCACTGTTGCTAGGGACACTGCTGTGTTGCTTAGGCGAGCGTTAATGGAGACTGCAACACAGTTTGCACACTAACTTATATCATTTTTGCTCTTTTAATGTTATAGTGTACAGTTGAAGCTACTTTTAGGGGTAAATCTATTGATATGAAAAGAAGCTTTGCAGCCAATTACAGATGCATTACTGTACATCTAATACGTTTTAAGCCTGGTGCTCCTGATTCTGGGAAAACCCATTATCTGGTAAACCCTAGGTCCCAAGCATACCGGATATTTGGTCCCATATCTATATACCCTCCAAGTACCAAGCATACCGGATATCTGGTCCCATATATGTATACTCTCCAAGTACCAAGCATACTGGATATCTGGTCCCATATATGTATACTCTCCAAGTACCAAGCATACTGGATATCTGGTCCCATACCTGTATACAATACTCTCCAAGTACCAAGCATGCTGGATATCTGGTCCCATATATGTATACAATACTCTCCAAGTACCAAGCATGCTGGATATCTGGTCCCATATATGTATACTCTCCAAGTACCAAGCATACTGGATATCTGGTCCCATATATGTATACTCTCCAAGTACCAAGCATACTGGATATCTGGTCCCATATATGTATACTCTCCAAGTACCAAGCATACTGGATTGGTCCCATATATGTATACTCTCCAAGTACCAAGCATGCTGGATATCTGGTCCCATACCTGTATACAATACTCTCCAAGTACCAAGCATGCTGGATATCTGGTCCCATACCTGTCAAGTATGCTCTACCAAGTACCAAGCATACTGGATATCTGGTCCCATACCTGTATACAATACTCTACCAGCATGCTGATACATATATGTATACTCTCCAAGTACCAAGCATAGATATCTGGTCCCATACCTGTATACATACTTAAGCATGCTGGATATCTGGTCCCATATATGTATACTCTCCAAGTACCAAGCATACTGGATATCTGGTCCCATACCTGTATACAATACTCTCCAAGTACCAAGCATGCTGGATATCTGGTCCCATATATGTATACTCTCCAAGTACCAAGCATACTGGATATCTGGTCCCATACCTGTATACAATACTCTCCAAGTACCAAGCATACTGGATATCTGGTCCCATATATGTATACTCTCCAAGTACCAAGCATGCTGGATATCTGGTCCCATTTCTGTATACTTTGCAGGAATTTGTTAACATCAATCAGGCTTTATATTAGTTTATTGTATTTTCTCTTTATTAATTGAATTTCAAATCTCTGTGATATTCTAAGAATATTAGTAGAATTCCATGACTTTACAAACCCAGATTTCTGATAATAAATTTTGTGATTTCCCCTCTGAGTACAAATCCTGATTGTGGTTTAAAGCTAACATACAATAATTTTGTGCAGAGTACCCTGTACCTAAAAATATATTAGATATTTCACAAAAAGTCATAAAGTACATTTTGCAAAGAAGGCAGGACTTTCAATACTATTGCAAAAGCAAGTTATCCATGTATTTACAGATTCAACTCCTAATCTAATTTTTTTTAAGAATCTTCTTTTACTTACAACATTGCTTACAAATGAACTGTCACCTTCTATCTGTACCACAACCTCAAAGAAGATATTCTGACAGTTAATATCTTTAATGTTCCAAGGATCCTTCCATTCCAATAACAGCTTAGTATAGTAACTGTCTTTAAGTAAATGACAATGTACTTCCTGAACTTTGGAAGGATGTACACTTTGCATATCACTTTTACTTTTTACATTATTTTCTAAATACTCTCGTGACATTGTTAAACCAATTCTCAAAGCACCAGAAAATGGATCACTAATATATCTGGTATCACCTTCAGTGACATGAACTTTAGTATCTTGGTATATTCTAAAAAGCCAATTAGTATTATCACAACATGCCACATCTTGAAGACTGTTTCTATAAAGACTTTTAATTACATCCTGTTGTTCCTCAAATGATAATTGACTTAGTCCTCCATAGGCTGCAGGGTATTCAGGGTGATATACTGTATTAATGATGTCCTTATTCATCCATGGAACATAAGCAACACCAAAGTCTTGCAATCCACACATAGTCTTATACACTGTGGAAGCATTGGAATTTATCCCAAAAGGCCAAATTTCTACCAAAATGGATCCAGGTTGTAGAAACATGCCAAGAATCAGAGCAGCACCATGAACCCCGACCACTACACGGGCCTGAGATAATTCACTTACAATTGTGAATATACTATTTTCTTCAAGTGACAACATCTTAACTTCTGAGACTTGTTTGGTTAACAATTCTAGTTGGTCTTTAATAAATGCTGATAATTCCTTTTCATTCACTATTTTCCGGTTAAATTTTCTGGATATTAAAACCCCTAAATGTTTCTGAGTTGGTTTATGCTCTATTTTTAACCTTTGTTGAACAAAATCAGTAAATGCTCTTAAAAGATGCCCTGAAAAAGAACTCCTCACTTGAGGTCCCTGTGGTTTTCCAAAGCCATACTGATACCACACACTTATCTTGTTAAGTCCAATGTATGCATCTTCAAAACAATACCAGACTTGCCTGCTGTTCAGTCTACTCTCTGACATTAACATTATTCTTTCAGATAATATTAGATAGAGATCCCAATATGGTCCTCTCTTCTCTTCATCAGTAAACACAAGGTTTAAGTCTTCTATACAGAGCCTTTGGTTCATACAAAGTTCTTGCATTGTAAAGTATATAGGCAAGAGATCATCATGAAATACATGAAGAAGATTATCCGGCTTGAAACGAGTCATAATAAGAGTCTTTCCATGAACAGCTTTAAAATTAATATTCTCATATTTAGTAATAAATGAAGTAAATAGTACAGCTGTTATTGGTATTAAGAAAGCATTATGTCCTATTAAAGATGACAGGTACAATTGATCCTGCAAAGTTTTGATGTTATTTATGCCATATATAATGGAATTAAGACTGTGCACAAAGACAAATTCCTTCTTTTGTATATTATAATATAAATTTTGGAAGTGGCATCTTAAATTGGATTCTGGTGATGAATAACACCAGACAGATGAATATGATTTATGTGGAGTTGAGCTTTCTACTGGTAGTGAACTATGAAGTAAAGATTTCTTATGGTCATTCATAGTTTTGCCTGAAAAAAAAACAAATTCTTGAGCATTATTACAAAATGCTAATGTATAAGGATTATGAATCCAAGCATCTGTACACCCATTATAACAAACAGTATCTTCATACAATGGTGGCTTGCCAATTCTCTTTTTATATTGTCCACTTAAAGGTTTCTTACTGAAAGAGTATGATTCTAGCTTCTGTGAATTATGATTCAAATTTACTGTTTCATCAATGCAGCTGTCGGAGACCTGACGAGTTGAGTGCACTACAGCCCAGATCAAGACGACTTTGAGGTTCACATCCTTGGAAATGACTACCATGGTGCCATCCCTGTAATAAGAGAAGCCAATATTCTCATATACCATATATAATAGAATAAACTTAACACAATTCATTAACAGTCGACAATGTGTTTCCCAGTTCTGAGAGGCCAATTTATGATTGAGAAGGGAGAAAAGGGCACATGATTTACAGAGCTCAATATTCTCCCAAACAGAGTAAACTTGTCACATTCTGAAAATATTCACAGTGTATCGCTGAAGCAGCCACTCTTCCAACTTATCTGGATCACTTGAATCAACAAGAATAGGATACTCCTTTGATATGGATAATACCACTAAAAACACAAATCACTGAGCTTTTAGTAAAATACCTCCAGGTTGTATTTCATACATCCAAGAGTTCTAGGATACCATGTTATCAAATCTAGTAATTTTCATTCCACATTTTGGGAGGAGTTTAGGAAACCAATTATAAGATGTGATACTACATTAAGATTCAATTTCTAACTTAAGATCAGAAGGTATTGCAAATGGCTCTATAAAAAAGAAAAAGAAAAAGCTAGATAAAGGCAAGAGGTGGAAAAAAATCCAAAATGCTACAGGAAAAGAGCCCTGGCCGAGAAGCTTAATTGTACAGAACTACAAGTTTAATATCTAAAGCAGGGATGCACAACCTGCAGCCCTCAGGTAACACTATTGCAGTCCTTTTTGTCTTATATAAAAACATTTTTTTCTAAAAACCAGTTTTTGTGATATAGCTCAGAATGCGACGCTCAGCATGTTACCTAGGTATGTTAATTCCTAGCTAACTCGCCAGGCCAACAAACAGGCAATTAAAACCCCCTCCTTCACCCCCCATCATACGCATCACGACCTTCATCTCCTGCCTTAGAGCGAGCAGTAAACAAAAGTCAACTCTCGAGGGGTGGAGATGGGTGGGTTATCGGCGTCGCATTCTGAGCTATATCACAAAAACTGTTTTTTAGAAAAAAAAACGGCGTTTTGTTCAACTCAGAATGCGACGCTCAGCATAAATACCCAAGCAGCAGGTGGAGAGGGAGGTGACTTTGCATACAAGGCTCCGCTGACTTAGGTCCAGATTCTGTTATAAACCGTTTAGAACATTTCCAGAATTAGGAACATTTACCGGAAGGTAAAATGTTAATTTACTAAAAAAGGATACTCACTTTATTCTGATGAGGATGAAGGTTCTGGTTGTGGAGATTGACTAGGTGGGGGAGGGGAACCCAGCACCACCACATTTGAAGCATCTCTCAGAGATAGATGAAGATAGCTGTCTTTGAAAGTTTTTGAACATCTCCAAAAGCCCATTTCCTTGATCTGACTGAGACTCATGTGCCACAGAAAGGTCACAGACCCTGAATATTTCCTAGTGTCATGTGCCAAAAATTTCTTGCCAGGGTCTGCTTGATTCACTGATTGAGATAAGGATTTTGTCATTTGACTAGATGATAATTTCTTACCATCCCTTGAAGAGAAAACATAGGGGCCTCTATTAGGCAATCTGGTTAACCATTCCTGAAGATTTTTAACTGGGCACAATATATGAGGAACCCTTGTTTCATCCATTAGACATTTTATCCTAATAGGTTGAGCTTGGAAATCTTCCCTTTAATTTTTCTTAGGATTTCCATAGGAAAAAGGGTAACATCCCCATCAAAAAATACCAATAATTCTAACACAACTGTTTCTGATAATGATTCTGGAGTTGTTAACTTGATAAATGTTGAAAAAGATACCAAGCTTTCTCATAGTGAATAGAAGTTTGGGGTCTATGACCTGCTAATACTTGGTTAGCTATATAGGGATTACCCAACAACCAATTTAAACTTTTTTTGAGAAACTTCAAGCATGAAGTGCCAAGGATATCTCGAACTGAGAATGTAGTACAGGTAGTTCTGCTATAACGCGATAATTGTGTTCTTGTAAAATATCGTGTTATAGAAAATCGAGTAATAGAAATAACAGGGCTTATGGAGAAAATAGGGTTAGGTGCAGATTACTCGAAATCGAAAAAATTTAGTAGTTAACCTAACACAAAGGAGAGCACAGTCTAAATAAATGTTACATTCATATCTAATAATGAAATCATACAGTAAATGTAACACTTTACTTGATGGGGGAGAAGGGTGATTTTGAGGTTGATAAAATCGAGCTTCTCTTCAAGTGTTATATCCTTTCTTTTACGATCATCACCGGGAATTCTATCACCAGAACGCTTCTTGTTGATATTCTTCTTTACTATATTCACAGTTAATACAGTGGGGTATGCTATAACGAACGGATCCTACTAAAAATATTCCTATAACAAACGGTTTTACCTATAAAATTGAGAATGCTATAACGAACAAAACTCCTACAACGAACATTATTTAATTTTTTTTTTTCTAATTTATTGTTTTTTTATTACAAATACTAATGATATTCTTTATTTCAGGGGTTTAGATGCATATTTATACACTTTTAAAATTTTTACAATTTTATATTATATTTTTCAGTGTTAAGTGGTTGTATTTGGGGGCCTGGAACGGATTAATCCTATAACGAACGAATGCTATAACGATCAAGGTTCTAGAACCAATTAGATTCGTTATAGCATACCCCACTGTACCACAAAATTGGAGAAATAGTAAGCAAAAATCGCGTTATAGCAAACAAGCGTTCGCGTTATACAAATATCGTTCCTAATTTATTAATCGCGTTAGAGCAAATTCACGTTATCAAAACACGGGTTATAGCAGAACTCACTGTACCTGGCCTAGACATCCTTGTTACAATTGTAGCGGATTCGGGCACCAGTCCAGCAGATCCAGGCACCAAGGTTGTAGAATCCAATATGGTGCAATTAAGAGGACCTTGCCTCAGAAGGATCTGAATTTGTGAACCACTTTGGGCAATATTTTCACAGGTGGGAAGATAGATTGAATTCCAAAGGTTCCAATCTAAGAGGGCATTTCCTAAAAGATTCAACCTCTCCAGAGATGCATAAAGTGGCATCTTTTAATTTTTTAGGGAGGCAAAAAGATCTATCTTTGGAGTTCCAAACTTCTTCACTAGACTCTTGAACTCCGATACCTTTAGGGACCATTCTGTTTCCGTCAATACTGGCCGGAGACGGGACAGCGCATCTGCCCAATTGTTTTGTACTCCCGGTATATAAGTTGCTTTGAGATAAAGTGTTTGTGTTACACAAATACTGAAAAATTTTTCTGACAGTTGTAGAAGGGGCCAAGACCTTGTTGATCCTTGATGATTGAGACAAAAGGCTGCTGTTTTGTTATCCATGGCAAACAGGATCGTCATATTCTGTAAATTTGGGTTTGCCGACAAAAAGAATAGGACCACTGTTAATTCTTTTATATTTATGTGTTTGTCCCAAAGAAAGTTGCTCCACTTCCCATGACTGAATTCCCCTTTTGAGGAATGGTTTCCCCATCCTATTTTGGACACATCCGTACAAACGACCAAACCTGTTTGAGGCGGAACCCAGGGAGAGGAACCAATTAGATTGTCCAACTTTGTCCACCATAACAGATGATTCTTTATCTGAATAGGGAGAGAAGAAGCAACATTTCTGTTTCTGTGAAGCAACTTCGAGCCCAGATGAGATAGTTGCTTTTTACTTAACTTTCCCAATGGAACCACTATTGTGGCAAAATTCAACAGACCCAAAAGTTATTCCCAATCATGCCAAGAAACCTTGGTCTTTACACAAAAGGCTTCTACTTGGCTTATCAAATCTAATACTTTTGTTTCTGGTAAACTGACTGACTGCTGATTTGTATCCCACTGGAGACCTAACCAACCCACTTTTGACATGGTATTAAATTTTATTTGACCTGGTTTACCTTCAAACCAAGGTTTTGAAATAGTACTAGTGTACGTTGGGTCGCCCTTTGACAATCTTCGAAAGAGTTTCCCATTATCAGCCAATCGTCTATATAAGCAAAGGTTCTTATACCCTCCTTCGCAAGGATCTTTCTGGGAATGTTCGCCAGTTTTGTAAAGACTTTTGGCACAATTGTCAGGCCGAATGGCATCACTGTGAATTGATAACTTACATCCCCTACTTTGAACACCAGAAATTTTCTGTACCTGGGAGCAACAGGAGCGTGATAATAGGCATCTTCGAGATCCACTTTTGAGATCCAAGCATTTGGCGGAAGTAGATGCCTCAGGTGATCGTAAGTGAGCATTTTTAAACTTCTTTTGGAAATAAATTTGTTGAGGACTGAAAGATCCAAAATCCACCTTAATTTGTCGCTGCCTTTCTTGAGGACTGGGAATAGGCGAGACATGAAACATTTCTCTGACTGTAACAGTTCCATGACACTTCTGTTTAGTAGTTGAATTACAAATCCTCTAAGTAAGGGGGTTGGTTTTTTACCCTTTTTTGGAAATGCTAGGGGAGGGCACCTCAACCAAGTCCATGTGAGGCCCCCTTTGATTGTCTTGTAAGCCCATATGGAAGAAGTCCATCTGTTCTCCCAACCCCCTAGATGACTCAGCTGTCTGGCTTCATTGGAAGGGAGTAGTTGCTGATGTGGTCTCCTTCCGCTTCTGAACAAACGGCCACCCCTATTACGTCTTTGATTATTTCCTCCTCTAAAATTTCCTCTAGGTTGATAACTGAACCAAGCAGCTGGTCCTGTTCCCCTGTAAAACCTTCCTCTCTTAGAGTTCCGAAAGGTCTGAGGACTCCTGGGGACATTAATATTAATAGTATTCTCACCAGATGATCTATATTTAACCAATGATTGTTCATCAAACAAAGCAGGAGAAAGAGGGAAGAACGTAGCAATAAATAAGCGCTACCACTTGAAGCATTATTTGTTGCTTGCTTCCTTAGCTGGACTTTCAGTCTTAGGGCTTTCAACAAATTATCTAAAAATGAGTTGTACAGGGAATATGGGATTCCTTGTAAAGCAGCAGCGAAACATTTGTCCACTTCTGAATTTTCTTCATAGTCCAGCACAAACTTAGTTAATAACTGACACATCATAATTGCAGACCAAACATCTGCTGAGA